TCCACTGAACATCCCAAGGCCTGGCATCAAGCCTGGCCAATCTCACGGCGTCCTTCAGCTTCAAACCTTTCCTGGTCATGCGGGCTTCATGGAAGTAATGCAAGCAAGTTGATCTTGTTTTCAAAATTGCCAACAAGGTTCATCTTCGATGTTGCTGGGTAGGTTCGAGCACTTGGGCCAAAAGAATCCTTTAAACCAACAGAGCGCTTATTGCAGCCAGGACCACATTGTTGCATGGTGGAGCAAACTAAGCACGACAATGACTTCATTCTACGATCCAAACAATGGTATATTTTCACTTCACACACAGAGGTGTCAACTGTTCAACCTGCTGAGCTTCTGCTTTCAGTAAGCTGGGCTTCTGAAATTTGCACACAAGCAGCTGACAAAATTCGTAAGCATTCGAACAGCTTACGAACACACACTTTGGGATCCTTTACTTGTTGGTCGATCTTTGCCCCAACATCCCACAAAGCAACTTGAGCAGTCACATAGGGATCCAGGCTGATCCTCACTGCGGCTTCGGACTCCACTGGAGAAGCGGAATCCAGGGGCGTGGTAAAAGCATGGCGAGGCCGTTTTGTAGGAGTCGGACTCGCAATCCCCTGACAGAAAAACTACTTGATTACCTAAAAACAAAACCCTGCATGAACAAAAGGCAAACGTGGGCGAACCTCATCCGTGTCGTTGGGCTGGGAGTCTAGGAAAATTGGATGTTCCTCTGTGCCCCCGATGAAGATGTTAGGCAGTGGCGGAGCACGTTTTTTTGGCCTCCCGAAAAGAGTTGCTGGAAGCCTTTCAGTCACATTGAACGGCCACGCCTAGGCTGTGGAACTGGTGTGCTCATGACGTCCTGCTGACAGCGGCTTTGTAGTGGAGAGCTGTGGCGGTTGAAGAGTTGGTGGAACAAAAGAAACAAAACCAAACAAACACTCAGTCCTGTTTCGAGGATTTGATCTCTTCAATCACCAGTCGTTGAGTGCGAAACTGCTATACGAAATCTCCAGTTTCAGGCAGCTGCAAACTGTTTGTATGGCATGGTTTTGACGCAGCTATGGTTGACATACCAACACAGTAGCAAGAAACATGTTTTCAGCGCACCCTGCGAAATTTGGCACTGAATCTCATTTGAGGGATCAGTTGGCTCATCATGTTGCCGATACTACTGCCATCAAATCGCAATAAAGCATCAAACTCATCGGTGCTCCTCTCAAGGATCCAACTTAGCCTTGGTAGCGGAGCAGGCTCCACATCAACTTCCGCCAGCCTGCACATGTACCTGACAGTACGACGCGAGGCCTCAGTTGGTTCTGCTTCAAGAAGGGCGTCGGCTAAGTTCAAAAGCTTCAACCTGCGCTCCAAGTCATAAGGCCGAACCGGTCTGGGAATTTGAGGCAGTGGTGGCATAAGGTCCATAAAGGCTGCTGGCCAAACCAAAACTGGGTCCTTCAGGCTCAATGACTTACATCAGGTTAAGCCAAGCGCCAACAAACAACAACTGTCCTGGGACAGGTCTTCATCCGACGCATATCGCTTAACAAGGCAAATTACATCGTTGTTGCACTCCGCCCATTTCATAGAAGTGCAATCTCTGAGAAGGTGCTGTGGTACATCTGCCACAGGAGTGTGATTCAAAGATTTTTGCAACAGCCAAAAACATAGAAGCTTCAAACAACTTGGGTAGCCTCGGCGCCGCAAAAAGATGAACGCATGCGCTCCGGAGGAATCCTCCTTCATTCCTCCAGAGAATTGAACCGGAGCAGTCTCCAGCCTGAAGCTAACAGGTTGGATGATTCAACAACACTGTGTTACACTGACACGCAACTTTAATCTGAATGCAGCTCTTTGCTCTGGGGTGCAGTCAAATAGCCAACCCTTAAAGTCCCGAGAAGATTGCAGCTTTTCGACAATGACTTCAGCTTTTCCCAGCCAAGAAGTGAGATTGACAGTCTTCACAATACGCTTCAACGTCCTGAGTCTAACTAACTTGACCTGGTATTTTGCAGTTTTTCATGTTCTCTTCACAACTGAAGTATCAACCAGAAGTTTGGCATGAAGTTCAAGGCACTCCACTATGTGGTCATCATCACATAGAACATCTTGAAACTTCATTGCCCTTGAAATCAATCCATAGCATTGGTCTCGGAGAACAATAGAAGGGCAGGGCGCAAATGGAGACAACAAAGCCACTGAGACAAAGCAAACATATTGACCTGTCACCATACTCTTGTCAAGTTTCCCAAACAGCAATGTGTGTGTCCCACGCGGGACATGAATATGCCACATACCTCCAGCCCCCGCTGCAACAAGATGTAGCATAGCAGCTTGAACATGGTGTTGTTCTTGGACTCCTTCACGGTGTTGTCCACCTGGCAAAAGGTGGTAAGACGCGTGAGATCACAGGGATGATTCTGAAAACATCTCAAGCAAGCCATGCACACCCACAGGAACATACGTCTTGGGGCTGCATAGTCATTCTCTTCACAGTACTTGAACATGTAATCGAGGCTTCGACATAGACACTCAGCGACCATCGAGCCGTCGGCAGGAAGCTTTGGACATAATGCGAAAAGGAACATAGCAATCCCATGGAGCCAAAGCCCCTGTACCTTCGTTTTGGGCCGGTCAAACTTGGCAATGGTTTTACTGAGTTGGCCTCGGCGACACCTGGGTATCGCCCACTTGGCCTGGTCCATACCATCCTTACTGCGTGAAGAAAAGGATCAGCCATGACTATGACACCAACCTTGACGTGTTCTGGTGCGCATCGTTTCGAAGTTTTGAAGACAGGTTTCGGTATGGATGAAGAGGGTGGCGCTGCCATCCCAGGGAGTGCACTCCTGACAATGATTTGCAAACTTATAATGCTTCTAGTGGAGTAACCGTACACCCTCAAAGCTCCTGCAAATAGGCCTCTAGCCTTCGATCTTCCCCCACTGCGTCCAAGTGGGACTTGTACTGTCGAGCGATCGTGAACCGGTCCAAAGCATCCTGGGCTTGGCCGTAATCAGTATGAAGAAACTTCTGGTTCAAGTAGATAGTAGAAACTAGTAGTTTTATCCTATGCGACCACAGATTCAGATGCATCTTCAAACGCAGTCTTGTAGCAGGTGCAGTCGTCGCATGCTGGAAAGTTTGTTGGGGCAGAGAATCTGAGCAAGTGGTGCCACTTGCTTCTATATCGCCGGTAGAAGTGGGCAAACCTCGATTCTCAAATTTGCACCCTTTGAAGTTTGACTCTTAGAACTCACCAAACTTCATTCAATCCAGGTACGAAGCATTGCCATCAAATTGAGCAAACAGCATGGTCAGGTTGCCTGGGGGAAGGAATCTTGTAGGAAGCTCTGTGGTGTGGCGTCCGAAATTCGTTTCCACAATCCTCAGAGGCCAGCCCCAAAACAAAACAAACATTAAATGAAGGACTGATCATTTTGAAGAATGACCGAGTTTCTGGGTCCAAAGTGCTTTGGACCCCATCACGTGCAGCTTCAGCTCGATGTCTGCCTCGGCCATCTCCGGTCCAAGGCTAGGTTCTGCTTCGTCCTCCTCATCGCGGAAGACCAAAGGTCCTTTAAATCAAGTGTCAAGAGGGGTCAAAATGGATTCGCGCTAAGGCCCAGTCATACAGCAGCAAACCCAACAAAAGACTCAACCGGGTCCTGGCTCATCATCAGAGTGCTTGCTGCTTCCGAAGCATGCCTTGAAGGCGCCCCCTTCCTGTTTTCTAGCTGCTTGCTGCACACGGGCAGCGCGCTGGAACCTGAATAAACTCTATGTCAACGTTTTCAATTCAATTTCAACAACAAAGTGAACTCGATAATATTAACTTGATAGTAGTGTAAGCTGAGAGACTGCGTGGGAAGCATGCCTGCTTGATTAATGTACAGCCGCAAAAAGAACTGGTCGATCTTCCAATATTTGAGGGGCGGCCTCTTCTTGACCTAAAGTGAACCATAGCCAAAGGATCGCCAAACAATTGAAAGAAGGTAATGTTTGTGAACCAACCTTCATGTGAGCTGAGCTACAGCTCCATAGCATCGATAGCGGAGATCCAATCTGCCACATCCAGCGGTTCTGAGACGATCGCATCTGATTCCAATCAGTGCAGCCAAACACTTGGCCGAGAGGGCAATTCCAAGCAAGGTCCAGGTCCTCCCAGCTTTGCTCTGCTTGTGCATGTCGTAGATCTGAGCATTTCTCCAGGAATGTTACAACAACGGTGATGACAAGTTGGTTTACATAATGGGCACACAATTCACTCTCAGTCACTGACGTATTGGTCTTGCTGGGGTTTGTCCAAGCTCCAGAAAATATCGAGCCAAGTTCGGAGGCCATCGGCTAGGGGATGAACCTTTCTGAAACAGTCAGCTTTGATGCAGCAGCAATGCTCCCGATGGAAGAGATTGTGCAGTCGGGTGGAACATATTCCATTTTCAGAGTGCCTTACATGTTTCAAAAGGTTGGGGCTCCACCAGGAACAGGAACCAAACGGACGACGCATAGAACAGAAACAAAAAGGAACCACCAATCAGCAAACAAGGGTCTTGATTCTGAACCGAGGGTTGGCAAACATTTTTCGTCTTGAGCTATTGTAGTTGGGCCTGATCAAAGGCTTGGGCCGCACTATCTTGCAGTTGCCGGTAGTCGCAGCTTGTGCAGCGTGCTCCCGCAATGAGTGCAAAGAAAAAGCAACTTCATTGCGCTCACAGGAGGTGGAAACCTTCGGTTCATCTCTTAGAGATCTAAAGAAATTTTTCCGCTGTTCCATCCTGATCCCAGAGCTGCAGAGTATGCAAGCAGCAACCTTCAAACCTCGAATAAAACGAAAAGACCCTCAATCACAACGAAAGGGACTTATATGTATATTCTCTACTATTTAAACATGTTAAACAATCAATATGTATATATACATACGCATACATACACACACACACATATATATATATACACATATAAACGCAGCTCGATAAAATCTACTCCAATCCGGCTCGGTCCCCGGCCTGGCCCCACATGATCAAACGAGGCCCTGGAAGAGTCAAAGATGCCTGAGGCTGTGCATCTGGGGCATCTGCACCCTGTTGAACTCAGTTGTAGTCCAAGGATGTCATTGCGAAATGCCCAGTGCAGCGGTTTTCTGGTTTCTACCGGAACTTCTCCCTCCCTTGCAAGCTTGAATTCCAACACAGTTCTTTCATTGTGTGTCTCTACGTGCTATGTTTGCGCATGTTCGATTCCTGGCCCAAGAATGGCTGGACACTTTGCATTCCACACGGTGCTCCACTTGTGCATCGACATCCACCAGGAGCCCCGTTCGTAGCGTCCTTGCTCCTAGTAGCGAGGCCAGGAGCCCCTAGTAGCGTCCTTTTTGACGAGTGGCCACTGTGGCAGCCAAAGCTCGGTGGCCAAAGTGCGCTGCTGTCCGATCCTCGTCATGATTCTCCGTGAAGTGGCACAGCTGACCTGACACCAACACGAGGTACACCATCAGCTAATAGGTTGGAGGCCCTCGCTAGTAGGTTGAAGGGCACCCAGTGACTCGCAGGTTGGCCAAAAAGAACTGAGTCTTGCTTCCTTCCAATGTTTTGCTGGATGCTTTTCAACTCGACTTTCGCTAGTGAAAATTCAAGAAACACTTTTGGAACTGTTGGTTTGTTCTGGGCGCACATCACAACACATTGCTTCCAGACTCGTCAGGCAATGAGCTGAAGTGACTGACAAATCTTGCTCACTCACCAGGGCCAGCCAGGTCTTCTTCTTAGCGATGGCCTCCATCCTAGCAATGGCCTTCAACCTGATAGCGACGGCCCTCCATTGCTAAGTCTATTAGGTTTTGGGACATCTTCGGAACTTGCCTGTGCACATGCGAGGGTGTTGATAAAGGTGCTCCCTCAGCTTGTCCAGGTGGCTTTCTGTAAGCCTCAGATTCACCGAACCCGCGCTACCATCATGGATTCACAAGAGGATTTCCAGCATCTTGGGCTCACTGGACTGCTCACCGGGATGAACAGCAGATTTCATCACTCATGAAATTACATCTCCAGTGGATTCTTGTGGACTCTTGCATGTAGTTGGTGCTTTTGACCTCGACATGGTAGTCATGTGACTGAGTGCAGGCACCCAAAATGATGCAAGTGCTTTGATCAACCACTAAACTCAATCTGATAATAACGGCTTGTGATCGCTATTAGGTTGGAGGCCATCGCTATTAGGTTCCTGTTGTTATTAGTCCAAAGGTCACGTTGATCCCTTTGAGCAATCCTACGTCGACATTACTCCGCGCACCCCGAGACCTGTCGTAGATCACCTTGTCATAGGCAGCGCTGAAGCCTTGCTTCAACAGCTCCAACATGGTGCCATGAGGAAGAATTTCATCCTTGGTATCCGCTGAGTCCAAGTGTGTTTGCTGTGGTTCGATCATGCCGACATGAATCTGCACACATGTATCTTCTAGCTTCTTCTTTGTGCTTCTTTTCTATCGTCCTCCTCCTCCATAGGAATGTGGCTGCTCAGTCTCCTAAGCGTACACTAGCTCAGCAGCCTACAAATTTTCATGGCTTGGCGAGGCTCGTACTCATAGCACTCCGCCAGGAGCAAGAAGTCCGGGTGACCTTGGTAAGCATTGGAATGTGGTAGATCCTACTGAATTACTGCTTCCTTCTGCTCTTTCCTCTCTCGACATGTTATGCGATTGCGCCGGATGAGCCAAGGTTCGTCTTCGGAGCTGTGGCAGTGCCCAAACCCAAAACTCTTCTGCCGGGCGCTGAAAGCCTTGCTCACGAAGGAGTGGGCCCCAGGTCCTTCGGATGCGGAATGTGCCATGAAAAAACATGTGCAAACAAGCTTGGCCTACTCATGCTACTGTGAAACCGTCAGGAACAAGTGCCACGCTAGTAGTAACAGGTGCCTTACTAGTAGTAACAAAAAGTATTAGAAACAAGTGCATCGCTACTAGGAACAGGTGCCTTACTAGTAGTAACAAGAAACTACTAGGAACAAGTCGCAACGGTCAAGTTCCTCTCGACCACCTCGTTGACACAAAGCATGGCCATGTCGACTCGCAAACCGTCACAACGGTCTGCCAAATCCAACAACTGCTGCAGCATGTGCTGTCGGCAAGCCTCTGACCTGTGGCGATATGACTTTCTCGGAATAGCTCAAAGACTTGTTGCAAAAAACAGCACTAGAAAATGGCCTGAAACATTCTAATCAAAACGTGCATCCATGGAAGCTCCGAACTCAGCTTCGGTGACATGTGCTGCACTGCTGAGTGGCCAATAGTTCAGCTGAGCCGTGTCGGTCCAATCGCCCGAATAGGGGTCGCGACCAAAAACGGTATCACCAGTCCGGCCTACAACAGCATGGTTTCCCGAAATCTAGTCCATTCCTCTACCCCTTTCAGGGCCAACAATTCACTGGGTCATAAAATCTGAGCTGCCCTGCGGTCAAATCACTAAGCAATTCAAGGCTAAGCAAATGGAATGCCCTTGCTCGCTTGCGCCTTTGATAAACAATCCTTCCTCAATCCAAGCACTGTCTCGTGCCATATGGTTTGGCCTTGGAAACGCAACTCCTTTTTCCGAAGATGTCTTTGTGAGGGCACTAGTAACAAGTGCCACGCTAGTAGTAACAAGTGCCTCGCTAGTAGTAACAAAAAGCTATTAGAATTAAATCATCACGGCATAGAAAGCTGTCTCTGGACATCGGACGAAGCTCTGGCAGTGTCGTCTCCACTTCCAAGACCAAGCTTCTTGTTCCTAGTAGCGATGGCCTGCACCTAGTAGCTTCCTCTTAAGGAAAAACAACTTCCTCTTTTTTGTCTTTTAAGTCGCCGTGTGACACAAAATCCAGCATCAAGGCAATGCCCCTTGCAGCGAGGCGTTTTCGGAAGTGGGCGAGGTCCTCCTGAGGTCCGGCTGTGCTCAGGAGGAAGCGGGTGGCTAATTGTTGAAGAAAAAGTAAGGAGGAGCCCCTAGTAGCGTCCTTGTTCCTAGTAGTACGGCCAGGAGCCCCTAGTAGCGTCCTTTGCTCCTAGTAGCGGTGCCAGGAGCCCCTGTATAGTAGCTTCTTGTTACCAGTAGTAAGGACATAAATTCGTAAAGAGTGGCTACAAGTCCAAGATCCACTGCCTGCACAGGAGGCCCTTTATCAAACACTCCCGGGCAGCTCCTCTGTGCCCAAGGAGGGGTTGCAAATGTATTGCCGGATGGCATAGGGAGATCCAATGCAATCATCCTCAGTAAAATCCTCAGCCAAATAGGTTGGCTCATCGGCCGTGAGATGCACGAACATGCCAAAGCGATGGCCCCCAACCTAATAGTGTGCATAGACATTGTTTTTAGGTTGGAGGCCATTGCTTCTAGGTTGGAGGCAATTGCGTTTAGATATGCTCAGATGTGAAGAAGCTGCCTGTACCAGCGAAGCTTTTCGCTGAACCCCCTTTGGACGTACCCCCGGCCCTCACCTCAAGCGAGAAATAGCTTTCAATTATGGTTCTCTCTTTGTTCTTTAAAGCAACTTTTTAACAATAACTGCTTCGTCTTTCCTGCTCTTTATCCGTTCACTTTTCCCCTCTCCTTCTCGCGGCAAACAAACTCTCTTAAGCAACGTGTGCAAGAAACACATCCTTTTCAAAATGTCATACAGAGGCTCCTGGCATCGCTACTAGGAGCAAGGACGCTACTAGGGGCTCCTGGCCGTACTACTGGGAACAAGGTGCGTTATTTCAAAAATTCCACAGTTGGCCCAGCGGCTGGCAAGCAGTCCTTGAAGTGCTGCAAGCGTCCAGGGTCTTGAACATCATGCCGTTGGCCATAAGGGCCTAGCGCAAGGGAGGGGTTGACGGGCAGCAACGGCTACCCCATGCTCCCACCCATGCTCGTCCTAAGAGTTCATCGGCCTAGACTAGACTTAGCTAGCGAGAGCGACTCCTTTCAAGATTGCTCAGATATTCCTTATTATGATTAAATCTTGAGATTTCCTTGTGTTGACAAAGCATAAAATTGCAATTTTGCCCGACCACTGCACCAGCGTATGGTGGTGCCAATGCCCAAGCAACGTGCAGGTTGACACGTCAAATCTGACGAGCGCGCCTAGCTCCCAACAGCCTCGAGCACTGGTCGACTGGCTTTGGTCCAATTAATTGAGGCGTTCAAGGAAAAGAACACATCTAGCATGGAAGGAATGGAACAAAAGAAACCGCTACATGTTAGATTAAAAAGGATTATAAAGGTCTAAAGGCAACATTAGAGGCAAAGAGCACGTTCACACCAAACCGGCCTTGCAACCACACCACGTCGGTATGGTTTCCGACGGCTGCCAAGAGCTGATCATCAGAGACGTCTTTCAAGCCAGCCACCTGTCCCGAACCGGCTGTAACGAGCTGAAAGGCGAGCTATGACGAGCTGAAGGTGGCGGGATATGGATACTACAATTATTAGAACTTAGCATAGCCAAACGTTCCAACCCCAAAAGGTTGGCTGTTTGTGCCAAACATGCAACAAAGCGCCGTACCCCATGGAAAAAGAGACACCAAGTCGCAGTGAAGGGCCGCCTACGGTCTTAGCAACAAAGAAATTCCTCCTTCAGGCCCAAAGACCTTGATGTCGTAGAGCCAAGGTCGAGAATTCAGCAATAGAATCGTCGGATGTGGTGGTATGGGGCAATGGGAAGGCTCTGTAGGCTCCATGGCGCGCAACTCACAACAGCCCTTGGAAGTGGAGGTGCGTTGTCCATGATTTGTCATGAGTGACTTGAGTCAGTCATCACATCAGGGGGTTTGTGGTGGCAGTGCTGAGTTCCGGGTGTGCCGGAAGGGCGATTCAGTCGCAGGCTTTCGCCCATGCCTAGGTCTAAAATTCAGGAAATGCTCCCCTCAAGCAAAGGTTGGCAAATGGAAACCCACCAGAATCTGCAAAAGGCAGGATACTTTGCCAGTAGTTCTTTGTATGATTGATGTGAAATGCTCTTCACAATTTGCTGAAGGTCCGATGGGTCTCTCAGTGAAACTGCACTAGATCCGGAAACCGATACCTGCGGCCTGCGGCAAATGTCCATTTTAAGAAACAACATGGAACAAGTTATTTTAAGGAGGCCATTGCTAGTAAGAACACTATGGGACACTATGGAACACCCATCCGAAACAGGACTGGCCGTGAACCTTTTCAGGTGAAGGATCCCACACAGTGCCAGTGAATACTGACAAAGGAAAGGCCTGAGGAAGTTTAATGACGTAGGCATGCATACGAGAATGCAAAGGCTTTGTTTATTGTTTCTAATAGCTTCTTGTTACTAGTAACGATGCCTTTTGCTCCTAGTAGCTTCTTGCTCCTAGTAGTAAGGCCAGGAGCCCCTAGTAGCGTCCATGCTCCTACCAAATTCCCAACAATGCACAAACAAGAATGTGCGTTCCTGGCTCCCTAACCCTTGGTCTACTGTGGTGAAGCACCATGCTCAACACAATTTTGACAGCAAACGAACAATCACGTCCCTGTCGCAAGGGGTAGTTGTGTCAAACCCAGATCCTTCGGCCACTTCACTTCCTTTCGTTTCACATACTTCCCTCAGTTTCAAACAAAAAGAAGACCTGTTAATTGCTTTACTTCAAGTGATATCACGGCCGGGCACATGTATTGACAAACTACCATGCCAAACGCTGCTGACATGTGCACTGACACAATATTCTGACATTTGACTTGTTAAGTCTGGTATGTGGGCATGAAGGCTGGGAAACATGTTGGAATGTGTTCTGACATCCTCTGTTCTGACATTTGTCCTGCCACCAAGTCTGGCATGTGTTCCAAAATGTGCTTGCCACATGACCTGACTTTGGTTCCAAGATGCGTTCTGGCACCTGTTCTGTCATCTATTCGGACACTTTCTGGCATTGTACCTGAGGCCCTGACATGTGTTCTGACATCTGTTTTGACATGCTCTGGCATCACGTGCGGCATTGTCATGCTTTCTGGCTGGTTCGGCAGTTGCTCTGATGTGTTCTGGAAAAGCCTAGGGGTGCACTACACAAAAACAGCCACCGCAAAGGTCCACCGTGTACCATCAGCCCGCAGCCCGCCCCGCCAAAGGTCCAACGTCCAGTGCGCACCATCAGCCCGGAGCACGCCACCGGACGAGGAGGAAAGGAAGGCGGGAGGACAAATGGAGGATGGGCGGAAGAAGCACGGACACCTAGAGACCCTCGACAGGTGGGGAAAAAGAATATAAGAATCCTTTTGATCTCTGATTAGGGCTCCTTCCAAGAGGCATGTATTTTGTTTGTCAAGGGAGGCCATCGCTAGTAGGTTTGTTCACCCCTTCAGTTCGCGATGCTGGAGTTTCTCTCATTTTCCGGGCGTTCGCTCTCAGCCATGGCATGGCTGCACCGAACACGGCACCTCCATTTCGAAGGTGCCTTTGGGGGCCTAGGGATCTGGGAGCTCGGCCTGAGGCAGTTTGTAAACATGACAAGAATCAACTGCTTTCTTCCTTTGCGAGCCGAACGATTCATAATTAAGCTTTCAAACGGTGCTGCTCGTTGCCCGCTTTGCCTGAAGTCTGTTACCAAGGCCAGGGCCATCTGCCGAGTGAGCTGCTGCGCTAGAGCCTTCGCATCTAGACTGCTGCTCATGACCAGTCTTGGCCCAAATGGCCCAACCACAGCGAAAAAGCTCCTAGTAGCGTCCTTGTAGTAGCTTTGTTGTTACTAGTAGTAAGAATGCTCCTAGTAGCGATGCCAGGAGCCCCTAGCAGCGATGCCCTTGCTCCTAGTAGCGTCCTTGTTCCTAGTAAGGCCAAGAGCCCTAGTAACATCCTTGTTCCTAGTAGCGATGCCCTTTGCTCCTAGTAGCGTCCTCTACTATGACACCAATCCCAACTTGTTGGGCTAAACATCATTGCACATCTAGTGAGTGTGCATGTTCGTGCGATCCGATTCGGTTCAAACTCCGGCCCTTCAAAGGGGGGGGAGTTTGGCCTTGACCCGCGCCAGGATGGCGCTGCGTTCCTCTCACATGTGAGTTTGGGCCAAAAGCAAGGCATACTTGGGCATTCTCTCAGGCCACGTCTCAATCCCGTGCCATGTCTGCTCAGTGTTTTGGCACTTGCGTTGACATTGACATACAGAAGCTATGTAGCCATTAGTTGCACAACAGTTTCGTTGCTCGTTTCGTCCCCGGTGAGTCCTTCTCCAGAGATGGCAGGAACCTTGCGACGTGTGACTGACACAGCTGGCAAGCTCCGCTGGAACTCAGGCTTTGACTGTCCAAACTTCTGCTGGAACTTGTCAGGATGCCACCTGGAAAGCGAACTCGGCGCATTCAATGTCCAGGTAGCTGGCATTTGCGTGTCATTGGTTTGATTTGCAATTTGCTTGTCACTGTCACCTCTTGGTCCATTCCTGGTTTTTTCGGGTTGTTTGAAAACTTTTCCTGCGCTGTGGTGCACCCTAATTAGTAATGTTTGTAATTCTTTCAGGCATCTTTGGCTGTTGCATTTTTAATGTTATTTTGGCTACTTTCCCCATATATATACATGGACAGGGAATTCGTTCATTAGTAGAGAGCATTTATGTGCTATGGGCCGAAGACAAGAAAAGAATCACTTGGCAAAAGATCATTTCATCTGGTCCCTGCTGGGAAGAAAGCTTGAACACAAGCCTGTGCAAAACTGAGAGCTCACAAAGGAACACCTTTCATAGGCCGTTTGAATATCTCTGAGAAATTCGAATGCGTCTCTTCGATGTAAAATGCTTCGAGATGAAAAACACTTTGTTATTCATATCTCCAAGCACTTTACATGGACCTAGGAGCAAGAAACTACTAGTAGCTCCTGGCCTTACTACTAGGAGCACAGGGCATCGCTACAGGGAGCAAAGGGCATCGCTACGAACGGAGCAAGAAGCTGCTTTTGACGGTCTCCGGACCTGAGAAGGCCCGCGCGCAGTTGAGATCGCACCTGAGTCCACGGGCAACTCCATGTCTCTCAGGCAATTGTGCACACTAGTGTCAACACTTTTTGTACGATCACATACCATAACCATACCAAATCCTTTAGCTCACATGGTGGGACGCATGAGGCTAAAGTTAAGCACTGAATGATGTCAGGAATTGTGAAGAAAACCACTTCCTCATTGAGGACATCGCCACCTTTGGATGCCCTTCAGGATCGATTCGCAAGGGATTCTCCAGTGGCCCGGACGGCCATGGAATCTTCGCCTCCCAAGAATCACCGTTGAACAAGAGATCCAAATTCCAAACTTGAGAGCTTGAGAGCATCCTAGTACTAGTACTCGCACCCTCAGATCTCATCATATAAAAAGAATCAATGCATTGAACTCGAAGCGAATTGAACTTGAGCCTTATTGCAAAACAAACCTGTGAACCAATGAACCTTGCTGCCACAGTATTAGCTTTTCAGACTTCAGCCGCTTTGGACCCCCTTCAGCCGCTGTGGCTATGAACGCCACAAGAATTCAGATCAGCTCTTTTGCATACTCCAGACTACCGGGCGCACCCCAAGGTACCGCGGTCGAAACGCAAAAAAAACAAACTCCTGAAACAGGATATATAAGAAATGTCACACAAGCCATGTCCACTTGAAACATAACAGTAAAGTAACTCAGCGGAAAGCTAAACATGGCTTGCAGTCTTGGCTTATTTTCACTTACACATCTTACACCCACACTTGCAAACTTGCAACATCTCCCAGCTCAAAGTTGCTGCACACCTCTTGCAGAATCACTTTTGCGCCCTCTGCAGTCATCTCCTGGTCTCACAAACGGGTCGCGTCAGGTTGACAAGTCTGGCCAGAGCGTGGAGAACTAGCGTCCTTGTTCCTAGTAGCTTCTTGTTACTAGCACAGTAGTAAGAATGCTCCAAGTAGCGATGCCAGGAGCCCCTAGTAGCGTCCTTGCTCCTAGTAGTAAGGCCAGGAGCCCCTAGTAGCTTCTTGTTTGCACATGTTTGCAGAAGTTTATAAGTTGTCGCACTGCTGTCGTTGCACTGCTTTCAGCCCCACCTCCAAAAGCTTCCATCGTGCCTGACTTCGAACCCTCAGTACCCTAAAACGGCTGGTGTGGTGGCTTAAAAAACATTTAAACAACTATATCGTGTGAGCTTAGCAAGTTTAGAACTTCAAAGCTAGAACCATCTAGAAACCATGAATTATATATTATATAAGAGATGCGAAGCCCTCTCTCTCTCTCATCTGGAATTGCCACCATCTCTCTCAGGTGACACCTCGTCCTTGGCTCGTGCGGCCACACGTGCTTGAGCCTCCATCTCAGGGTCCTGGGGTGCCAACGGAACGCGTATTTTGGGGCTTCGCGGTCTGAAGACGACAGTGGCACTGCCCTAGCAAGTTGTTGCTGGACTTTTCATCAGCTTCAACAGAGTTCAGCATTGTGGTTGTTAGTGGCCAGCATCCCCACTACAGTAGAGATTAAAAGTGCCTAGTAGCGATTCAACCGCATCTGCACCCGAAGGAACCTTATCTAATAGCCCGTGCTCCTGGTGACTTGGCTTTTGGTCGGGACGTGGCCCTTTCTTGGCCTCTCCTTGCACAAAACAAAGGATACTAGTCATGCACACACTTAGACTCAAGAGCTCAAAGCACAGCTCCTTCGCCACTTGGTGGTGGCTTCTTTGGCCGTTCGCTGTCGCCTAGGCGCTCGACTTCTGGCAAGACTGTCACATCTTTGGCACCTCTCGAGAGCACAACCCGAGTCTTTCAACGTAGAAAATGCAATATTACACAATTTTGAGGAGCTACAAATGCAAACGAAATCCGACAAAACCAAAAAGCTTATTTAGCATTTTGTTCCCTTGCTCACTTATGATCTGTGGCTCTGCTTCAGTTTCCCTGCCAGGTCACCAGGATCAGGGATGCCAGCTTCAGTTGGCTTCTCCGCTTTTGCTTTCGCTGCTAAAATGCGGGACCTCAGCAACGACCTGACTGTGAAGTCATCTTTCTTCTCTGATCCTCCCAAGCCCAGGAGTGCTAAGTTCGCAGCATGCTGTTGGCATTGGCCGCACGGGCTTCTGCCTACGTGGCCGGTGCCGCATCACTCGGGTTCAAATGATTGGCCCAGTGCTTCTACCACCTCTGCCGCAATATCATCCATCCAACTCTCTGGGCGACCTGCGACAGCGGTGCACCCTGGCACCTTCATGTTCATGCACTGATCACAAAATATTGACTGAGAGACACGCCAGTGTCCCTGCTTTCGAGGTCTTCGTGCGATTCAAACCGGCAGAAGTCATCATCTTCCTGTGGGGAATATGGCTAGGTTGGAGGCCATCGCTAGCAATTTTAATTAGATTCTAATTTAAATTCTAATAGCAAACATTGTTACTACTAGTAAGGCACTTGTTACTAGAAGCGATGCACTTGTTACTACTAGCTTCTTGCTACTACTAGAAACAAAGACAAAAGACAAGGAAGAACGCAGGGAAACAGTTCGCGCCAGCCAGGATCCGCCGATCGCTGGCGTCAAGCCTGGCCGATCATCTCTAACAGCTGCCGACGCCTCGCTTGGTGCAAAAACACTAGGTCTCACGCAACCTAATACCTGGCGAGTGCCCTTGGTCCGACAACAGGGGCCAGCAAGAAAAGGCAAGAAAACCAGATATGTTCGACATACTGGTCAACATGCTTCTACTATCTTCTACTTGGAAAATGTAGATATGGTTTGCTAAAAAATCCGAAAATAAGTTTAGCTGTGGCAGCTGTGGCGAGGACCAATCGGCTTCCTCACGCTTTCGCCGCGCTGCTGCAACTGCTTGTAGAAGCTGATCCTGCAAGATGAAGAAATAGAAGCTGACACGCAGAAAAACATGTCACTAGTTGAGTTGGCCATGGTTGGCCTCAAAAGAGGTGAGCAAACCCATTGAAGAACACATCGAAACCAATGGACTACCTGCAATTACCATCTCTCTGAAGTCAATGTAGTTAACATATATGACCAGTTGGGTCTCTTTTGGACTTGGAGCCTCTTGCGACAGGCTGATGGCGATCCTGGAATACTGTGTCTATTCAAAATGCATCAGAATTACAATGGTTTACCCTCTGTTATGAACAGTTTGATGGATTCTGCCAGCCGGGTCACATGTGCGAAGGGATATCTGCCATGAGAAAATCTGATGATGATATCAAGTTGGAAACGCGGCACCACCCCCGTTGCATTCATAGCCACCCGAAAACATACCCGGACAGGGCGGTGGAGAAAGGGCAAGTGGCGTGGCTAAGCAGGGGGACAAGGGTTGGACAAGGCGGTTGTAAAAGGGCCGACAACCCTGCAACCAGGACAGGTAGACCCGGACAACACCTGAACTAGGCCTGGACAAGGCGGTGTTGCCGCCTGAACAAGGACAACGCCGGGCCCACAGCAGCAAGCGCAGCCAAGGCGACAAACCCCGGACAAGGCCGAAAAGAAAGCCCACAGCGCGGCCACAGCCATCGCCAGCCATTTCTTTCTTAGTGCCACGCTAGTAGTAACAAGTGCCACGCTACTAGGAACAAGTGCCTTACTAGTAGTAACAAGCAGCTATTAGAATTAAACTAAATCCAAATTAAATTACTCTTAAAATGATTGGGGAACAAGAGGATGACACAGCAGGACGACGCCAGCGTTGCGGCCAGAGGACAGCAGGAGGACAATACCCGGACATAGGATTCAAGGGCGCTGCCAGCGACTGTGGCCAGCATCCTTGTCCCTAAGAGAGAGTCCCAACACTAAACTGTTTGGAGACAAGAATGAAATCAACTGATTGATCAACTGACAGCGATGGCCTCCGCCCTCCAAATGCCTCCAACCTACTATCGATGGCCTCCAACCTGATAGGAAACTCGAGAAAAGAAAACATGCTCCAAGAGCGTAGTAACAGCCTTACTAGTAGTAACAGGTGCCTTACTAGTACTAACAAGTGCCTTACTAGTAGTAACAAGTGCCTTACTAGTAGTAACAAGTGCTCCTTACTAGGAGCAAGTGCTTATCAAAGCTTCTTCGTCTCGCTTCGAGACGGCTGTGGCTGTCGTCTCCTCCTTGGCGGCGTGTCGACAGGTTTCATCTCGTTCAGCCTCCCGGAGCAAAAGAACGCCAGAAACAAACGCTACTAGGGGCTCCTGGCCTTACTACTAGGAGCAAAGGACGCTACTAGGAACAAGTGCATCGCTTCTAGTAACAAGTGCCTTACTAGTAGTAACAAGAAGCTACTAGGAGCTCTTCAGCCTCCCGGAGCAATCCATCCAAATCCAAAGACTCTGCTGACTCTCCTGCGATATGAGAGTCGACCAATGGTGAATAGTACATGATGAAATACATGAGAATACGTTGGAAATAAATTAGATATATGAGAATAGGAGGAATTATTTGGATTGGCCCTTTTCAGTCTTTGCGTTCTCTTTCATTCTTTTTCTTAGAATTCTTTTCTCCTTCCTTTCTTCACATTTACTTTTTGAATCTGTTTGTGGCATAACAAACAAACATATTACCTCGGCATCAATTTTTGAGACACTTGGTAACTTTGTACACAAAGCTGGCAGGAGAAAACTAACAGCTTAGAGTGTGCTTAATAATAGGTATTGTTGCTGTTGATCATGGACCTGTGGGACCTGTGGTGTTCCTTTTTATTCTTTCCTTTGTTGTACGGGGTGGCAGTGAGGGCGCATCTGGGCAAGGAATGCAAGAATTTTCCTAAGACTTGGGAGAGGGCTGCGACGATTTCATGCATGCAAAGCCAACGGAAGTTCCGGAGAGGGGTCCGTGTGGCTTAGCGCTGTTCCCAAAACGAAATTGCAAGAACTAGCTGCCCTTAACACTTTTCTGGGCCACAAGCTGCACTCACATGCACAACGGGCGGAAGCAAAAAAAACAAAACATGCACGCAAAGCAATTCATCGAAGCAAGCAAGAAAGGTCAATAAATACAAGAAAGATTAAAGAGTTGACAAAGTGCTTCCGACCAACATGTAAAAAACCACCGCCGCCTTGTGCGTCGCAAGCGCCAGGATCTGCCAGCGCCTCTAGCTAGTAGGTTGGAGGCCATCGCTCTTAGGAGCAAGGACGCTACCAGGGGCTCCTGGCCTTAATACTAGGAGCAAGAAACTACTGGGAGTCCTGGCCTCGCTACTAGGGGCAAGGACGCTACTAGGTTGGAGGCTTTTGATCCAAACCCCTTTTGGCCCGGCATCCTTTGCCCTTTTGGCACAACTCACCTCCACCAAACGCATGGCCACGCACCCACGGCACAGGCGCCTCAAGTAAACAGGCCGAATTCGTCCGCTTGAGAATCTGAATTGCTGAAAGTGTGTGGAAAGTAGGCCCGTCTGACTTTCTACCATGTTCCAGCCATGCACAGAATGTCAAAAGAGAAGCGGTTGGTTGATGAATTGACTTGAATTTGGCGATTTGGATCTGTCTGTGCTGTATGTTTTGTCTTGTTTGCCGGACTTAGCAGTCGCACGTTGCCAAAAGCAAGGGGGACTCGCCCGCAGAGTTGCGAGTTTCCAGCACCGGCCTGAGTCCAAGCCGACTCGTGACATAACTGACATAACTCGAATAGAAAGAAGCTGACAGTCATCCATTGGTACGTCAGTTGACTCATTTTCCGAGATTAGGCATGAACTCAGCTTGAGGTTGACTCAGCAGCCAAGCCTGAAGTCCGTATGTGGATGTGTTAGCTTCTTGCTACAACTAGTAGTGATGGCCTCCAACCTGGTTCTCCTCTCTCATTCTCTCTTTTCCGAGCTTTCGGCCATAAGACCCGGCTGATTCGAACCTGATCCAGTGAGAGAAAAGACCCCGGCGACATGCAGGATTTGCACAGAAGCGTACTCAGAAGCGTCCGATCGCTCCGTTCGTAGCGATGCCAGGAGCCCCGAACGTAGCGTCCTCTTGTTACTAGAAGCGATGCACTTGTTCCTAGTAGCGTCCTTGCTCCTAGTAGCTTCTTTGCCTTCAGGGTTACAAATGCTACCGTGCACTGGAAAGTGAGGTATTTGGCCTTCACTACATAAATTCACATGCCAAACGCCCGTTTGTTTCTGCCGTGGTCCGCACGAGCTGCAAGGTGTAAAGCTCCCTCTCCGCGGGCGTTGGCCCATGAAAAACCATAACGCCTGGAACACGGGTGGCAAAACAATTCATTTTTCACCAAATAGCGTGAGCTAACTTGTAAGATCTTGTAAGCCATTGGGGTTCTTCCTTTAAGTATGGGAATGGGTGGGTGCTGGAGCCACTGCGAAGATATCGATGCGTGTTCGAAGCGTGCTTCTAATTAGGTATTTTGGGGGCACTCTTTGGGGTTCTTTGCACACGCACGACGCTAAGGATGTCGTGGTACTAGGGGCTCCTGGCCGTACTACTAGGAACAAGGACGCTACTTTGGCCGTGGGCGCTTTGGAGACCGTGGTCGGCGCTGGTGCCGGTTTGGCTACTGGTGCTGGTGGTTGTTTTTTCAAATATCACATGCCTTATTCTTGATGTGTTCAATTGCTTCTTGCCCGTGATACTTGGGAAGCCTAGGAGCTTTACTTTTGGGGCACATTGATATATACCACACTGCACCTTACCTTCCATTACATAGCTGTGTTTGAAGGCTTGCACGTGATGCTTGTGAAGGCTGGAAACTGTGCTGTTTGCGTGATCATTTTTGCATCTTTTTGCACATATATAGTTTTTCCTCACACGGAAGATCCTGCGGTGTCCGCCGGCTGATTTAGTACAGCAGGCCCCTAAGAATCTAACCAAGATTATTCCTGCTTGATGAAATGAACCTAGGGACGAAATGAATAGTGCCCTCAGGCGGGGGAGCTTCCTTGAGAAGGGTGCCCGCGTCCAACCTAGCGGCCAGTAGTAGTAATACCATGATACCGAGTTGCTTGTTTAGCCCTTACTCAATCAAGTAGGGGGGAGTAGTATATATTTGTGATTCGTGTGGGGCCACAAGCGTTTCTGCATCTGACCGAAGAAGTCCGAAGCCTGACCAAATACTGCGCCATCATCATGCTGCCAGCCTGTCATTGCCAAGTGTGACTAGCGGACTACAGCCTTACATGGGAGTTGATCTAAATTCCTTTATCCGGGATCCGTCATTTTCGCCAAGAAAAATTTACTTTCGCCAAACTTTCGCCTTCCTGCGTTTTATCTTTCGCCGAAGTACGTTGTGTTTGTGTGCCATGTATGTTGTGTTTTGTTCACGTCAATGGCTTCTTCTTTACTGGCAAACACAAAATAGAAACTTCACTGTTTGTCAGCATGTGTCTTCTACTTAACTGTTGACACCCAGTACGTCTCTTTTGTTTCTCCTGGGTGTCAGCAAGAATCAAAATTGCAAGAATCACTGTAGTAGCCGGTCACTCAAACTTACTCATAATGGGCTGGGGGTCAGATGTGGCAGGGTGAACTTTCGCCAATCTTGAGCTGAACTTTCGCCAAACTTTCGCCTTTTGCGGGGTAGAGTTTTGTGGCAAAGCCACCCCCCAAAGCAGGAGCAGGAATAGTAGTAGTAGTAGTAGTAGTCGTAGTCGTAGTGGTAGTGGTAGTGGTCGTGGTCGTGGTCGTGGTCGTGGTAGTGGTAGTGGTAGTCGTAGTCGTAGTAGTAGTAGTAGCAGCCGCAGCAGCAGCAGGTTATCTAACTTCCACAGCTTATCTAGCTTCTGAGTCACTGCCACCAGCTGTTCAGAAAGCAAATGAATATTCATACAAAAGTACATATTTAATCTTTCGCCAGATCTTTCGCCAAAAAAATAATTTACTTTCGCCAACTCGAGAAAAAACTTTCGCCAAATGAGATTTTGATATGTTCCGGGTCATCGTCATACACACTGCTGACTAGGACCTTTAGATCGACAACCACATGTTCGTGGGCTTGCGCATGCACATGCATGTGCGACTGGATCGGCCATCTCAAAACAAAACACTATGAGAACATCATGTTTGTCTTCATGAACCCACAGAAACTCTCTCTTTTCACAGGTGGCACAGCACATCGGGTCTTAGGCTAATGCCGCAGTCCAGAAGCAATCGCACCGAGCACCAAGGATGAGAAATCGGTGAAGAATCGGTGCTGAGAAATGTCGGATGACATCACCCTCATCACCTGAGGCGACACAGATATGCGACACAAACAAATCAACATCTCCATCTCCATTTCTTTACTTCCCATGGTGAAGGAGCCAAAGAAAAATGAAGATTAGATTTCATTAGATTTACTTTATGCTCTTTTTCAAAGCGCACTGTGGATCGTCGACCGTTGAGAAAAACCCTGGCCCCGTCTAAGTGCAAAACTGTATAAAAGCAACGCCCTTGTTACTAATAGCTTCTTGTTACTAGTAACTAGTAGTAAGGCCAGGAGCTCCTAGTAGCGTCCTAGTATGTCCTAGTAGCGTCCTTGTTCAACGCCAAGTTACAGGAGAAGCTCACTGGTCCACTCCATGTGTCCAGCTGGATGTCGACGCCACTTCGAGGCCAATCGGACCAGCTTTCCTTCAGCTGTGGCACAGGCACAGCTCCAGGCACGTCGTGGCCCGGCCGTGGGCACCTCACGTCTTGGCATCGTTTCATGTGGTCCACCAAGCATCCAATGGAAGACAGAGCCGTCATCCATACCCATGACGATGCGTGCATGGTCGCCAGACAAAGAGACGGCTTTCGCTGAAGTTGCTGGGATCACTAGCTCCACCTTTGGTTTCCAATGATGTGAAAGTCCTGAAGTGTGAAGCTCATGTAGCAAAACCTTGCCATGACCAAGCACTGCAGCACGGAAAGGATGATGTTTCACAGCATCTGTCACCACAGCAATCTTGGTGCCAGCTCCAAGATCAGGGACTGGTGGAAGATCTGTTGCAGAACACTTCACTGGGCCACCTGCAGCCGTCACGGGGCAGGTAGCGATGTGTCCCGAACTGGTGTGAACAAGCAAGCGTCCAGCACCCCAACTCAAGCCATGAGCACGACCCATCTCCAAGAAGTTTTCCAAGTTGAACGGTGTGGCATGTCCAAAGCCGTGCGATGTAGCTTCATGGGGCAAAAATGCACCGGTGCCTCCAGATGCCAATGCAATGCAGCCAGTGGATCCACATGTCAACAGCTCAGGCTCAAGTGACTTGGGCCACTGCACTGCAGCAGGCACCACTGGGCGGACGACCACAGAGTCCATGCTCTGCAAACGTCGATGTCCTCCACTGTCGAGCCAGTCATGGTCACCTCCTTCATAGACTCGAGCATATTTGATCACACCGGTGAACCATGTGTTCTTCCCCACGCCAGCAGCTCCCACCAATGGCTCAGGTCCTTCAGACTCTGACCAATGCATGTCAGCCTCTGGGTGGAATCCAAACATATCGCTGGCCCAAATCTCTTGTTGTCCTTGCGGTCCCCATCCTTTTTGCCAGGCAAAGTGTCCTCTCATGGGTGTGACATGGGCATAGTGCTTCGAAGTGATAGGTCCACTCTCCCACCCGTGCCATCGACCGATTCGGGACCAAGGTGGAGCTCCAGGATTCGTGACCAACATTCGCTCACTCATGATGCACTCTACGATGCGACCGGTCAATAGCAAACTCCAACTCACCATGGTCACAACCAACAAGGTGCGGACATAGTACCATGGAGTCATGTCCACATTCACCATGGGGTCCTCGCGAATCACACTGTGATCGCGATCAACCTGTTCTTGCTCAAGCTGTGCCTTGGTCTTTGGAGGAGCCACCAAGTAGGAGACATGCTGGAAAGCAGCTGGCAGCCATGCCGGGCTCTCGCAAGATGCGCTCTGGTTGAACATGCGTTCTCCCACCTCTCGAGCTTGATGTGAAGCTCCTGCCGCACTGTTGGCCGGTTGTGCGACCACATAGAGTCGGATGGTCAAACCCAACTGCATCAAAAGCACCAGGATGGCCACGGCACGAGAGATGTCGATGGTGCCCTGGGTGGGGTGATGAGTGTAGGCCAGGGCCAAGGAGATGGCTTCGATGATAGGGCCACCAATTTCAATGGGGAAGCAGCCTCCATGAGAAGGCAAACAAAGTCGTGAGAATCGTGAGAAACTTAAGAAGGAAATCATGGAAAAAACAACAACAAGGAACACAGCAAGGAAGAGGAGAGAGAAAGCAAAAAACACCCAGATATAGTTTCAACTCATTACAGTGTCTGTTCTTCGCTTTGTTTTTGTGTCTTTTGTTCGTTGTCTTGATTGTTATTCTTTTTGCGTGTGATTCTGAAGCAGCCTCCATGAGAAGGCAGGACATCCATTCGGAACATGATCCAAATCCCGGCGGACAAAGCGGAAGCGCAAACAACGGCACCCCACACCATGCCCAACTCTGCCACATTGTGAATGGGAAGCCAATAGGCGAAGGATTGGATCAAGTGCATCTTTCCAATCAGAAAGGTCACCCGAGCATAGGCTTCAGCACACCAATAGTCTTTTTGTGCCTGTCGGATCAGCTCGAAATGCTCATAGGGTTCAGGTGGCGCTTCATTTCCGAAAGCACTTGGGGATGCTTTTGGGAGATCATCACGTGCTTCCACTTCCTTTTGGACCCACGAAGGCACACCAGAGGTGAGACCAGGCATACGAACTGCATGGGCGACCTCCTTGGTTGATCCGCCCGTCTCTTCAGCCAATTCTTTCACTTTCTCCTTCATCTTGGCACCAATTCCTGGCAAACCCGCTTTTGCATAGCCACTCTTCGAATCCTTCTTCTTCTCATCATCAGATGCAGGTGGAGTGTTGCCGGTGTTTGGCATGAGGAAAGGCAGGCGAAACATATCGTAAACACCTTGCTCCTCGTAGGTGGACAAGATCTTACGGGCACTGTCCAACTGCCTTTGGGAGGGCACTGGCAAACGCACCTTTCGTGTGCGAAGTTGGACCATGGCAATCTGGGCCCGCATGGCCGCATGCCAGCACAACCAAATGGAGAGCGTCATGAAGGCAAATGCCACTCCCAAACAGTTCAAGTAGAGGCCAGACGCAAAGGTAGGTGGCCCCGGGAATTTCAGCCCGCTTCGAGCTTCCACCAGGACGGTCAAGACGTATCCCAAGCTCATGGTGAGCACGGGAACGTAGACGCGGAGCTTACTCACTGACCTTAGGAACACTTAAAACATCTAGAAACACGCAAAGACTCCAATAAATTAGGTTGGAGGCCACCGCTAGTAGGTCATGAACCGTGATCCGCAGCACTTTTACAGATCTCGCAAATCTAAGGAGTGCAACTGGTCCCTCTAATCATCCCCAGTCTCCTACTGCGAACAAACTGGAGTAGACCACTGGAAAACAAGCGCGTTGCGTCTTGATCACAGTCTCCAAGGCACACAGCTGCGAGATCAGAAACATCTTCTCGGAACATGGCAGACCTCTTGAGCTCGTTGGCCCGTCCTGCCATTTCAACGAGAGTGGTTCACCTTCTTTGCCTTCCGAAAGTTCACCCGGTTGGACAAGTTTTGTGTGTGTCTGGGAGGCCGGTTTCAGGCTTGACAAAAGGAAGGAGTAGAAAGCGAGGACGTGTTGACGTGGTGTGATAGCGCGAGAGGAAAATGAACTGAACTTGCTCCTAGTAGCATCCTTGTTCCTAGTAGCGATGCCAGGAGCCCCTAGTAGCGTCTTTGCTCCTAGTAGTAAGGCCAGGAGCCTTCTTGTTCCGAGTGGCTTTTGTTGGTTGCGAGTTTGTACACGGTCCACATCCACAAGTCCATCCAACCTGTCCTGCTGTGAAACGAGCCCATCGTTGGCCTTGGTCAAACTTGTAGTTCACACGGTTGTAGCCGAAGCCGAAGAGCCCGGCCTCACTAGACCGAGGAACTCGATTTGGCCACCGCAGTGTGTCGAGAGGACCGAATCGGACACAACTAGGAGCAAAGGACGCTACTAGTAACAAGTGCATCGCTTCTAGTAACAAGTGCCTTACTAGTAGTAACAAGGACTCTACTAGGAGCAAAGGGCATCGCTACTAGGAGCAAGGACGCTACTAGGGGCTCTTGGCCTTACTACTAGGAGCAAGGACGCTCTGCAACTCTGAACGACTCTGCCCCCGGTGCCTGTTTGATGAGCGTTCCTCCTCCAAGCATCTCCCGCACTGTAGACCACAGCAAACGTGTTTGCGTCTCAACTCCCAGAGCCAAGACTTTTGAGCCGAGTATGCGGCCGCAGGCCCGCAGGGCGAGACTTTTGCGCAAGGCATGTCACTGTGGTAAGCATGTCGCTGGCTCAAGCCCATGCTGAACACATGTGGTTGCCGGCTGAACACATCTTACGCCACATCAAACAGGCCGCGTCGGCTTCGGCAGCCCGAGCGAAGCGTTGGGCCACAGAATTGAATGACACTGACCTCAAAGGTTCGCCTGAAATGGTCTGATTCTCTGGCTTCTCTTCACAAAATCCCAACGAATATAAAAGAAGGTGTGGCCCAGCCCCTTTCATAAGGGGGCCAACTAAAGGAGCAGTTACCTTCCTTTTCTTCTCCGTGTTTCAATTGTCTAGCGTTGGCTTCGGGCGAGCTGGTCGAGGACCTCATGAAAAACAATTTGCTGAGTAGGTCGCTACAAAGGTGTCTAACTTGCTTAGGTCTGGGCGATGACGAAGTTGGCAACCGAGGACCTGCACAGAACAAGTACCTAATGATCATGCGACTTGTGAAATGCGGAAATGTTTAAAGCAACTCCTTCAGAACCCCCAAATGAATATCACTACTGCAGAAAATGAGTGCTTTAGATTGCACTCATCCCCCAACATTCCTTCCACATCTCTTGCAATAAACCGCTTCTGATTCTAATGCCTTGAACTTTCTCTCGCTTCCGCTTCGCCTAACGAGTGGTAACCCGTTTATAACCCGTGGAGTCAACAAATACAAAACACACACATGAATATAAACTCTAGCCATACTCTAGCCGCTCCTACTAGCGATGGCCTCCAACCTACTAGCGATGGCCTCCCCGTAAACTCTAGCCGCTCCTGACCTTCTTGTTTTCCTTCTTGTCTTTCTTGACCTTCTTCTTGTTCTTTTTCTTCTCTTTCCTCTTCTTCTTGAGACGCTTCTCCTGGGTGGCTTCAAACAGCATGCCACAGTTGTGACTCTACCACGCCACTTCCGCCTTCTTCTTTCCTTTGCTTCTCAACGCCTCCATTGCGGTGTTCCACTGTTCCCCAGAACCCCTACATTGGTCTACACATGCTCTCACAAGAAAGGAATCAATTGAGCGAGTCAAGCAAAGCCTCCACTGCCGGATTCTCATCACCTTCATGTCGTGCATTTTTCCCTCTCAAGATCCTACCAGTAAAGCCCAAAGCTCATCCCACGATTGTCTGGGGGCCCTGGCTGCTATCGATCTGGCACACCTCTGAGCCTCAATAAAGCACTTGTATTGGAAACTAGCTCCTCCCGGCACTGCCAGCCTCTGGCAGCCTCACTGGCAGCCTCGCGCGGCTCCTGGCGCAGCCAAATCTCCCTTATTGAAACAATCGAAGGCGTCGAACTCAGTGCGCCACCATAGAGTCCCACGGAGAAGCATCGCTGGCTTTTCGTGGGTCAAGACGAACAGCGCTAGGGAGGGCAGGAAATTTGTCCAAGTTCTCGCATCATCGATGTCACTTGCACCAGGTGTAGGAGAATGTCGAATATGCGGGAACATTTGGAAGCTATTCTGTTGCCTGAAAAACGACCTTGATGTGTTGTTCTGTTGGATTGTAGCTACTTGATGAATATTGCTGGATCGGATGCTGCTTGCGGTCAGCTGGACACTTGCTTCGATCGCTTGACAAATGCAAGCTATGGTTGCAAAAACAAAGCGCATTCAGTAGCTGAATCACAAGTGCACTCCCACCGTACAGCAAATCAGAATGTACATCATAAAGCATCATGGCAACTTTTTTGGAGCGCGTAAATCTTGAAATTGAAACCTGTGGTCATGCTCTCTTTGAGCAGACTTGCATTATTGAACATCTGTGTTTGTCAATAATTTGGCATTTCCTCTCAAATCATCTCAGAAGCTAAAGTCTTCTGCTCGCAATGAAATCAATGACTGTGACATCTTCAACCAATCGAATTGAAAATCGCTGACTAGTCGCCTGGGAATTTCAGGAACCTTCCCATCAATTTGACCACCAGCCTTGCTTTCCCTTGGATTTGCCCTTCCCCTTCCCCTCTTTCCCCCACCCACCATATCCTGCATTCTCATCAGTCCGTCCATCCGCTTTGCTCCACCAGCCCTTGCCCTTGCTCTTGCCGGATTTGCCCTTGCCCTTCGCACCTTTCCCCAATCCGGCGTCAACGCCTTTCCCCCAACCATCAGCCTCAACGCTCCCGTAATTGGGCGGCGCTTCTCCGGACTGCTTGTTCTGCCACCAGCCCTTTGAGCCCTTCGAGCCCTTCTTGCCCTTGGACTTGCCCTTGCCCTTTGCAAATCCATCCCCATTCGGACTCCCGTAATTCTGAGGTGCTTCAGTGGGTTTGCTCTGCCACTTGTTGTTTTTGTTCTTCTTCTTGCCTTTGCCTGGCTGCCCACTTTGCTCTTCTGTGTGGTTCGTGTTCCCACCATCGCCACCCTTGCCACCCTTGCCTGGCCATGTATGCTCGAGATCATGTCCCTTGTTCTTCTTGTTCCTTTTGCCCTTTCCTTTCCCTTTCCCCTTCCGGGCCCCTTTCTCTTCAAGTTGAAGCACCTTCTTTCCATCCTCCTCCCCAATCCCGAAGGTGTCTTCCATTCGAACGAAATCATCATTCACATCATGCCCATCAGCTCTATTCAAATTCACCACATAGAAACCATCAAAGGCGGCCATGTACGTGTGCTCTTCAATGGCTACCACATCTCCCACGGTCATTGATGCATGTGTGGCCTTCCGGTGGAATCGAGGACCCTGCTTGCCTGTTGCTTGCATCTCACCGTAGATCTTTTGAAGCCACTTCAGCCGTTCTAAGCCGTGTGGCACTGGACACTTCAAGTGACGCACCGGACAATGTGTGGCTCCTAAACCCTTCTCTTGGCTCTTGACAAAGTTGATCCAGGAGTGGATGGCGGATGGGTTCTTCACCCACAAAGGAAGAAACCGCTCTTGGAACCTGACCACTTGGGCACTATGTGCACAATGCAAGACATGAAGCAGAACTAGTAGCGATGGCCTCCAACCTAGAAGCAATGGCCTCCAACAGAATAGAATTTACATAGGTCTCACTTCTTGAAAAGACTTGGTAAGGGCGTCTCTAGCCGTCTGCAGGTCCAAGAAGCAAAGGTACCGAATAAAGTACCACGGCGGATCCGGTAGAACTCGATTCTGGCATTGCACCTGCGTTGGGGATCTCTTCGAAGGCCTCACGTAGCCCTCTAAGCTGCATGTAAGCTTGGCCTATCCATCCCGCTTGCTTCAAGCGCGCTACTTGGTGAGATGGTAAGCGGCATTCCCACGGTCGGTCCCCACGAGTAGCAGCCATGGACAGTTGAATGTGCCATGAGCTCATGATGACCCGTGGATGCGGCTCCCTCCCACGTTCGGCCGCTTCCTCAATGACCTGCGGCTTGGGCATAGCCAAGAAACATCCAAAACATGCAGAATCCGTCCACGTTCTCATGCCAAACATCTCAACCGAATCTCTTGTTTTCCAACTCTTCCCTCGCATCTCTCTCTCTCTCTCAGGTTGGCATTGCTTTTAGGTTGGAGGCCATTGCTAGTAGGTTGGAAGCCATTGCTAGTAGGTTGGACTCTCTCTTGGCCAAGGGGCATCCATATCAGACCCCTCGGAGGATTCAGTCTCCTCGGAGGACTCATCATCAAGGTCCGCCATTGGAAAAGGCGCTCCAGTTGCCCAGCCCGGTGCCGAGCCAGGTCGACTGGAAGCAACGTTCTGCCCGGTGATGCCCTAGCTGGCCCCCCCCGGATCTTGATCCAAATCAGGCATCGTGCTACTAGTGGTAAGAATGCTCCCAGTAGTAAGGCCAGGAGCCCCTAGTAGCGTCCTTGCTCCCAGTAGTAAGGCCAGGAGCCCCTAGTAGCGTCCTTGCTCCCAGTAGTAAGGCCAGGAGCCCCTAGTAGCGTCCTTGCTCCTAGTAGCGATGCCAGGAGCCCCTAGTAGCGTCCTTGCTCCTAGTAGCGATGCCAGGAGCTCCTAGTAGCGTCCTTGCTCCCAGTGGTAAGGCCAGGAGCCCCTAGTAGCTTCTTGTTACCATGTTTGAAAAACAATACCACGATAGAACTTCTAGAGCTGCACATGATTGTTTACAAGTTTCGCCATGCGCGCTCTTGTTAGGACTTCTGCGGCCAGTCATCCCTGAAAACACGCATTTGCGCTCGGATGATGGCAGGAGTGGCCAGCACAGCCACTTCTTCATCCTAAACAATTTCATCAACCAAATGCACCGCGTTCAGCACATCTGAAGGCTCAAGGGTGTTGAAGCATAGCTCCTGCATGTCTCGCCAGGTCGTGGTTTCGCTTGTGTGAATGTAGAATGGACATGAATGGCATCGCTACTAGGGGCTCCTGGCCTTACTACTAGGAACAAGAAGCTACAACTAATGGATATGAATCATGAATGGATTCTGGACACGCCACCTGACTGGCAATTGTGACGTTTTGCCCTGCAAACCGCAGTTTTGGCCGCAAAACCACCCTCGACACCCACAGATTGCCCCGCTCCTTCTTTGCACCCCGTGGGCACTTTGACTCGACCCAGGTGTAGAATGGCATGTCCCTGACAGGCTCAGTTGACAAGCGACTAAGCGAAGACAACTCCCCAAATCCACCAAGCTTGGAGTGCGAAGAACGTTACTAGGAGCAAAGGGCATGCTACCAGGAACAAGAATGAACAAAATGGTGGAAAGAAACCGGTCGAACTTCTCCTTGAGCCCCCCACTTCTTCTTCACGGATTCCTGTCGGAGTGAGGCTTGGCCAAGGCTTAAAAGTTAGTCCCCAAGCAAAAGACCTTAAAGTAGAGCCAAACATACCATTTATCATGGCAAACCTCCAACACCTACAGGTACCAGATGGTACCAGGGTCAAGCCACACCAAGACATGTCGATTTGTCACGTGTCATCATCCCATGTCATCGCATGGCACAAGGGGCCTGCGGAGATGCCAACTTGGAAAGCACCACATGACCTCCGGCAAATATAACAAGACTAGGGCCATCGCCATTGGTAACTCTAAAGAAGATTGTTTTGTAAAAAGCTTCTAGTAACAAGTGCCTTACTAGTAGTAACAATGTTTGCTATTATAGTTTAATTAAGAATTTGAAAAAACGTCTCTCACCCACGCGACGGAAAGCCCCCAAGCTCCCAGCAAAGGCACAGGTGAACTCCAGTCCTCGATGCGGCACTGGATGCTTCTCACACAAGCGAACCCAAACACAGAAAGCAGCCTCAAACTTTGTTGAGCTTTGTATGTGACTTTAGCTCAACCATCAGCCAGGCTAGGCACTCAAGCAACATGCAACTGCACAGCGTCCGCCAGCATCCTTAACCCTCGAAACCAATTCCAGCAAGAAAGGAAGAACAGGTTGAACGAACATTTTTCCTGACACACCCTCTATAAGCCTCTCTCTCTCTCTCTAATCTTAAATGCTGGGGCCACCAAACGCAGTTTCTGGCAGAAAAAGGTTCTCCGTGCTAATGGTCCAATAGAACTTGCGCCTTGTGACTCTCACATCAATGGTGGTCCACTTAGGTCCCCTTCATAGAAGCAAATCTTCAAATCAAGAAGCTACTAGTAACAAAGGGCATCGCGTGGCATCGCAACTGGTAATCAGCTAGGTGGAGGCCATTGCTATTAGGTTGGAGGCCATCGCTACTAGTAACAAGAAGCTACTAAGTCATCGGTTCCATTTGTGATCTTTCACCGAGGTCTACGCTCACCTTCAAACGTCACCTGAGCAAAACCCGTCCGCGCCCGTGGCAACCCGCTTTGACTGCATACCAGCGCGGCCCGCCATTACAAATGATATGTCGCAGGAATGAGACGCTGGCCAAGCTCTTCTTTTCGCAGGCCGAGTCGTAAAAGACACGGAAGACCTGCATCGCTGCATGGATTGATTCAAACATATCCAAACACGCCTCACCATTTACCAAGGCAATGGCACAAGCATGGGAAGCAAAAGGAAGCCACTTCATAGCCAACCAACAAAACAGCTAAGGGTGCATACGAATCATGACCATGAGCCATGAAAATTCAAAAGCCTTTGGCAGACTTGACACTTCCTCTAGTGCCTCATGAGGATCCCGTGCTGCTGACCTCACTGTCAACTGAAATGGCCCACTGCGTGTCAGGCTGGCTCTACGGATTCTAAGGTTGGAGCCCATCTTCAGCCACCTTGTCAAAAAAAGGTCCAAGTGCGATTCTGGAGAAATATGGTTTTGATCAAGCCCTCTTCTAGCTTGACAGGGCCCGCCACATGTCTACGTGTTGTCTACGTGTTGTCTACTTTTTGTCTACGTGTTCTCTGACCTTCTCGGAGCTGCCAGCGGCCAAGCACATTCGGTGATGTTCGGCCTCAGCTCCACATTGGAGGATGTTCGATTGTCTTAAAGGCCAGCGCATTTCTGCCTACAACGCCAGCAACATGCTGTGCAACCTCCCATTTTCCGCCAGTGCGTAGCCCTCCTCGCAGGAGAGGCCGAATACAAAACCTGCCCAGAACGCATGCATGCCGCAGCGACCATCCTGGCATTCAAGAACTGTCAAATGTGCGAGCTTTCTTGACATTTGCGGCATGCGAGCAGCGAATCCCAAGCGTTTTGCCAACACTGTGGGCTTGAAGTCTAACACGTTCACTTATTTTGCACTCCAGCCTCTCGCCGCGAATTGCGAACAGGAGGAGCACCTTGCTTGGTACATTCAAGTTCCATTGGGACAGCTTGGATTGGGGGGCCATTGCTGTTTGGTTGGAGGCTATCGATACTAGGTTGGAGGCGATCAGTATTAATTAGGTTGGAGGCCATAGCTACTAGGTTGGAGGCCATCGCTACTAGGTTGGAGGCTATCGGTATTAGGTTGGAGGCCATCGCTATTAGGTTGGACCGTAACACTTGTCGAAGGTCGCAGTCGCACAGGCCTGTACAATGTTGGCCCCCCGGCACCTGGCACTTGATGCTCCAGCATACTCCTTCCCAAAACCTCACTGTCAATCTACGTCATCTACTTTTCAGCCCAAGTCCGAAACTGTTCTTGATATGATCATGTTGAGAACTAGTGATGGCTCTCCATTCTGGACTCCCACAAATTGAAAATCAGGCAGGACTCACAATTCGTCGAACTCCTTTGATTCCCCGCAGTTCGGCCAGCCTGATGTCAAAGCCGATTAACTATTGCCTTGGTCTGCGACCCATTCGATGCATATGTGTGTCTATAAGCATTCCCAGACAACCAGGAAAACTCAAACATCGCTTCTTTCTCTTCGACCTCTAGGCCATCATCGATCCCTGAGGAACCTGACGGGATTGCCATGATCTCATCCTGCCCGTCATCGCTGGGAGATGACGAAGCTTCCCTCGTCCCTGAGACATTCAGCTGAAAACAGTCAATGGAAAACGGACAACGGTGGCGCAAAGTGAATCTAAGATAAGCCAAAAACATCCAGAAACAAAAAGCTACTAGGAACAAGGGCATCGCTACTAGTAACAAGGACAGTACTACTAGCTAAGCCTTTCTACTTAGCGGCCGCATGGGTGGGAAGCAAGCCAAGTGCCAAGGGGCCATCACCAGCATCACTGGGAGTTCGTGTCTCATCAGGAAGCTCAAGTGACTCAAGTGGACATGCCACCAGGCCTTCCTCCGATTCATGGACATCGACTGATGTACATTTCGATGGATTCATCGCTGAGGGATCGTGACTGAACAAGTTTGGAGTGCAATGACCAAGTCCATCCAACTCTGGTCCTCTGTCTGATCCTCTTTGCCTCTTTTACATGGAACATACGTGCCTCGCCCAAACATTTTATGTTGCTCCCCTGGGCTCTTCCCCCAAAGAGTCGTTTTTGATGCTTCGGTTGACTACAGCTCATCACTCAGCTTATCCCATTGAACGGCACTGGAAACAGCTTCCCAGGTCCTCGTCTTCATGCTTCTCCGGCTCTGGACCTACAAATTCTGTATACAAATTCTTGATTCAATTCAGCCATCTTAAAACATTTCTAGATATCCGATGAGTCAACCTCCGCACAGGCTTAGTTCTGCTTAATCAAAGAGATGTATACTGTATACAGTGCTAGTTGCTTAGCTCACCATGGCCCACCTGGCAGCTCGGGAAGCCGCTCCATCTGTGCATCCGATTCCTCCATCTCCTCAGGCTTTTCAGGCTCCTCTTGGGGCAGCCATGGCACCTGGGGGCGCTTACGATCATCTCCGTAAGAAGGATCCCCCGTGTTATCGTTCTCTCTACCTCAAATGGTGTTGTTAAGAGCCAACTTCCCGCCTTCTGGCGCAGCTTGAAGTTTCGATTTGAAGATCGGCTTGAAGATCGGCCTGCGTTGCTTGTGCGCACCCCATGTCTGAGGGTATTGGTCCGTTGGGACTCTGCCAATTGAGAAGAGAGCTGTGATGAAGAGAGCAAATAGGGGAAAATAAATCAGGGGGTAAGCAAAAAGCCTGTTATACTGTAGGTGCCGGAAACAAAACCCGAATAAGCAGGCGAAGCAAGAAGCTCTTCTCCCGCCTGCATTTTTGGGATGAAGGAGAGCGTAGGTTGTCCGGTAGACTCGCACCGCCCAAGGGCACAGGGCGAGGGAAACAGCACAAAAAACGACCTCGAATGAGATTGAGGGCAAGCAAATCCACTAGACAGATCCCTGGGTAGAACCTCCAAGTGTGGTTTTCCTCTCCAAATCCGCTTAGAAGAGAAGGCCACCCAAGAAATGGTTGATGCACGTACGCTGAATCTCCGTGAGCCCTGAGCCGCTGCAGAAGAATTGCCTCTTAAGCCGAGACGCAGCTTCGATGTAGTGCCTGTTCCTGAGTTGCGGACCAAACCGACCTTCCTGCATTGAGACAGGACGCTACTAGTAAAAAAGGGCATTGCTACTAGGAGCAAGAAGCTATTAGTAGCTCCTGGCATCACTACTAGGAACAAGGACGCCACTAGATGCCCTTTGCTCCTAGTAGTTTCTTGTTACTAGCAGCCATGGCCTCCACCTAATAGCGTCCTTGCTCCTAGTAGCTTCTTGATACTAGTAGCCATGGCCTCCAACCTACTTGCGATGGCATCCACCTAATTGCGTCCTTGCTCCTGGTAGCTTCTTGTTACTAGTAGCCGTGGCCTCCAACGTACTTGCCATGGCCTCTACCTAATAGCGTCCTTGCTTCTAGTAGCTTCTTGTTACTAGTCGCCATGGCCTCTTACCAACCTGCTTGCGATGGCCTCCACCTAATAGCGTCCTTGGTCCTGGTAGCTTCTTGTTACTAGTCGCCATGGCCTCCAACCTACTTGCGATGGCCTCCACCTAATTGCGTCCTTGCTCCTGGTAGCTTCTTGTTACTAGTCGCCATGGCCTCC